GTCCCTGTGCTTTGCTAAGCTTGTTCTAAGTAGGTGCTTTAGACCACTGAGCCATCTCACCAGCCCGACATCAGCTATTTTTGAGATAAAACATTATTTGCTACTTTTCTTTTCTAGGCCCTGTTCCTTTGATGTTGAGTGGTGGAGTTGGTGGAATTTGCCTGTGGCTTGCTGTATACCCAGTGGATTGTATCAAATCCAGAATTCAAGTTCTTTCCATGTCTGGGAAACAGGCAGGATTTGTGGGAACATTTCTAAGTGTTGTGAGAAGTGAAGGTGAGTCTGCTAGCTGCAGACACGGAGGAGGGCTGCACAGACAGCGCCTCCACCCTTGGCTTGTCTGTGCTGGCCAGAGGTGTAGCTGCTTCCTTGTTCCTATTTCATGTCCTTTTCTAGCACTGCATGTTAACACATACCTGTGACTTGCTGTGTGTAAAGCCCCTGCCTTCACTTATTTCCACTCTTAAATTTTTTTGTGACACGGTCAGCCTGGAACTCACAGTGATCTTCTTGTCTCAGCCTCCCTAGTGCTGGGATTATAAGGGTGTGCTGTCAGGCCTGACTCTCAAAAAGTCTTTAAAGTTCATTACTCTAACTCCTGTGCCAGGTACCCGTCAACATTCTTTGTTCTAATCACTGAGGGTATAAATGCTTTGAAGTTAGCACCACTTGTTCTAGAGCACACGGACATTATCAGAAGGTGATCTCTAAAAGGACCATGTGAGGGCTTTAAGAGAATGGGTAACATTCTTAATGCTAAGTGTCTGGAATCAGAAATGGACTAAGCAACTTTTAACAGTGATTGGCTACAGTATTTGGAGTTATGCAGGAGAATAAGTCATGGTGCAAAGCTGATTGTGTGCTGCGCGTCCCTTTTTTATCCACTACACATGTTAAAACTTGGGTGAAGAGCTTCTGTTTTGATTTTTAAGGGTAAGAGCACAGCAGCACAGAAACAACTTTAATTCATGTCCCCAAAAGAGCACAGGTGTCTTTTACATTATTAATAGTGACTTCTGTATAAATAGACATAATATTTCATAGTTTTGTGAAGTTTGCACACACCCCTACCCTGTCTAATTCAGTGCTCATAGCTGTGCTGGGTGGTGAGCACAGGAAACAGCCCTTTGACTTCAGTGTAGGTGCTCCTACGCTGCTGCTGGCTTTACAGTTGCCTCTGTCTGGCCGGGTCAGGCCTCAGCTGTAGCCCTTCTTAACTCCATGAACTAGACATGGAATTGGATACAGCGATCGTTTTGCTAGGAGATCTGACACTTGTTTGTGTTACTATGTCTAGGGAAATGGAAGTTAGGTCATCACTTGTTGAATTTTAGTGCTGTTTCTTGGATATGTAAACGCAAACATGCGCACTCTATGTGGCTGCAGAGGATGGGTTGTCAGTCTCTGATTGCCCTTTTGTTTTCTAGGAATAACAGCTTTATATTCTGGACTGAAACCTACAATGATCCGAGCCTTCCCTGCCAATGGCGCACTATTTTTGGCCTACGAGTACAGCAGGAAGTTGATGATGAGCCAGCTGGAAGCCTTCTGAAGTGCCTGGTGGGCCTGCCTCCAGAGCACGGGCGTCTGAGGACTACTGTTCATCTCAGGGTTTCGTGGAGTACAAGAGCAACATGGAATTATTTTGCTTTATTGGGAATATTCTCTGTGTCTTCTCTTCTACCTAAACCTTCAATTTGATGGAAGTGCTTCTGTTTTATGTCACATAATTTCTACCCACAATTGAAAGAGAAAAGTTGCTGCTCTGACCCTTGATAAAATATACCAGATGGCTTGTGGCCCTGTGTGCATAGCTTCAAAGGCTGCGTGAAGTTCTGCTAGGGCATTGCTTATGCATAAAACCATGTGTATGTGTGTAGTCTGGATGTTTACGTATTGAGGGAGGCACAATTTGGTTCCATCATTAATCTCTATCAGAAAATTGAGACATGACTCTGTGTGTGTGTGTGTGTGTGTGTGTGTGTGTATGCGTGCGCATGAATGGTTATAAATGACTGCTTCATCCATTCTAGATATATTTCAAGTCTGCTGGACCTGTGTACAAAGAGGTTAAAGGTTTTCAAGTGGCACTTGAAAACTAAAATATTCACACAGACTTAATACAATAGGCCTGCATACTGATGTGGCTTCTATATTTTTAAATGTTTTTCTTTTCTTTTTTAATTTTTGGTACTGGGAATTGAACTTGGGACCTTGCACTTACGAGGCAGGTACTATACCACTGAGCTATATCCCCAGCCCTGGCTTCTACATTCTTGATAAAGTTTCAGAGTAGCACTGTACAAGTATCCCAAGATGCTTGACTGTTATAAAATGTCATTTATTTTCTCACCGGGCTTATTTTCTGCACTCTGACTGTACTGTCAGGTGTGGCCCAGACCTTACCAACTGCCTTCCCTTCTCTCAAAGAGCTTCCCCTGAGCTGGGCTGCAGGGGAGGGATGGGCCGAGGGGATGGCTGCTGCTGTGCTGTGACAATCCCAGGTGGCTCCCAGCGCCTCTTGCTAATCCCGCCTCCTGGTCCTGACCTGGGTAGACTTGCAGTCCGTCCACTTTCCTGTGTGTCCTCCTCTGCTTCTAGCAACTGGAAGCTCCTCTAGAGGAGAGAGAGTACCAGAGCCAAGAGAAGCCTATGCTTCCTGTCTGTTGATGAAGGTAGTTCTGGGTGCAGCCCTCTTCTCTCAGACAGAACAGAAACAGTGCTTGTGGCCTCTCTTCTGGAGTTTACCTAGGGATCTATAACTCCCGCCATGCATTTTGGTGCCTTCTGCACTTTGGGCCATCAGTCCTGAATTTTAATAACTTCAGATGAAATAGGACTTTATAAAGCAGTGGAGCATAAGAAAAGCAATTTTGTAGAAACTAGGTAGTATGTATTTCTAACCAACAAAAGCAAGCATCCCTCTGGTGATCTGATCCCTAAGCATTGGGATGGAGACCAGTTCTTCATCGTTACTGTCAGGAGTGAGTCCTGTGTAAGTGGCCACCTCATTCTGTGCTGCTCCGGGGCCGGCAGGGTGCTGTTCTAATAAGTGTTCTTCAGAGTTCTGGAAAGCCAAAAGCAAGCAGGCTGAGGGTGTGAGGTGTGAATGAGTCCTTGTCTTCTATGTCTGTCCCCGTGGGCAGAATGTCAACTCTGGAGGCAACCTCCAGTCTTAAGCTTTCTGCTGTCTGCCAAGCCTCTGGCAACTCAGCCATTGTGCCAGGAGCCGCAGGGTTAGGGAAGCAAGGTGCCTGCTGCCAGTTGGAGGGCTGAGAGCTCTGGACTTTGGGCAAGGGGGCTTGCCCTGCTGTAGCTGGCCCTCCCTCACTTTTTTTTGTTCTTTTTTGGTGGTACTGCTGGTGGAACCCAGGGACTTCATACTGAGCTACATTCCCAGCTCTTTTAATTTTGATACAGGGTCTCATTAAATCACTGAGTTGCCCAGGCTGGGTTCAAGTTTGCAGTTTTCCAACCCCAGCCTCCCAGAACCTCTGCTGACTTTTCTTTTACAACAAAACTGTATTTCTACTTTACTTTTCTCTCCATATTGAAATGGTCAGTAGCTACTGAGCAGTGTTTCAACGGAACAGGCCTGGATTGACTTAAAACAGGAACTGGAGCTGGCCGCGAGCAAGAAGGGAGCTGCTCCAAGTCCCTCATCTTCCTGCACGGGGCCTGGGGCTGGTCCCAGGTAGTGCTGTTGGCAGATCTTTTCACAGATGATCCATTAAAGATTTTGGCGATTGTCTGAAGTGAGTAGAAGTGAGGAATGGAAAGATGAGCGTTTATTTTTTTCATTCTGTCTGGTTAATTTTGGGTTCTGTATTTGGGAACAGTTTGTACCACTTCAGATCTGTGCTCCAGATGAAAATATAACTTGAAATATTGTTTAAAAAATTTGAGTCTTCTATTAAATTATTTACCTAATGTGAGTCTGTGGTGAGTTTTATTTAAGTATGTCAATGTGAACTAATAATCAGGAAAGAGTTATTCTGATCTTTCAAGGTGGTCATTTTATTACAACAAGCATTTTTTTTTTAACAAACATTTTTCACCAAGATTCGGTTTGACAAGAAAGACTTGTTCATATATACTGCAGTTATGTAAGGATCAGCAGAATTTCTTACTCTACCTTTCTGTTGTTAAAAGTAAAGTTTTGAATGATTTTATTCCAAGGAAGTAAGCCTTTTTTTAAGGAATCCAGTGTCATTCTGAATTATTACAGTGCAAATTTCTGAATGTGTTTAAAGAATTAGTAACTTTGGATTCTCCAAAAGCAACACCCAAGAGGTCAGAATAAATTTGTAAGTGCAAATGAGTGAGGCAACTCATACCTGCCAGAAGTTTTGATGAGTCTTTGAGGATTAGGAGAGAAACACCTCAAGTACAACTTAACTTCTACTGTTTACTCAATTACAACTCTTAACTGGAGTCTCTTACCCTCCTTCTTACTACTATTGAAAAACTTTCCAGGTTCAGCTAAGTATATTTTCTATTTACCTAACCCCGTTACATAATCTTCCCTGTGGAAAAAATATAGACAACTGTCTTGCTATAAGGCATTTGTGTAGTTCAAATTACAGAGAATGTTAGCGAGCTTGAGAGCATACTGTATAGCCTTGCCTTCAGGAGAAGCCCGACTTCAGGGAGGGGAGGAGCTGTGTTTAGCTGGGCTGCTGCCCTGACTGTTGGAGTGAGTGGGGGAGCCAGGCTGCCCACTAGCTCTTCAGGCTCTGGCTGGTGCATGGCGCTGGTCTTCTGAGCCATGGCTGCATGGCTCAGAACTGTGTGCCTATCTGTATCTACCTCAGCGTCTGCAGCCCCTTTTTTTAAAAATTGTTTTCCTTTTTATTATTTTTTATTTATTTTTTAAAAAATGTGTGTGTGCTGACAAAGGTTCTACAATCTGAGGTACAGGATCTCA